TGTAGATTCTCAGGAGGCAACAGTACTGTTGACTTCTCTCTCCACTGGACACCAACTAACTTTTTTATATTGATTTGCATGCAAAGCAGAGCTTACAACATTATAGCTATTCATAGAGGGCGTTTCTTCTTTTGCCTTTTAAATAATACAGTAGTCATACAATGAATATAATGAAGCAGTTTATATTTGTTTCAGTGAATCATTAATTTTTGACAGACACCTGTACAAAATACTTGGACAAAAGCCAGCTAAGATTATCTGTTATCTTGCACGTTTTATGGATCTATTCACATCTAAATGCTGCAATTTTTTCTGAGATAAGTTACTTTGAATAAAGCTAGAAATTATGTGCCTTAAAATAATTAAACAAATTAAGCACCAATGTTTTGTAAGATATCTACATCTATCAAGGACATTCGGTAGACTGCTTCCCCACTGTTGTTTCAACCCCAAAACTTGTTTGTATTCAATATTAATTATGACAATGCATATTCATATTGAAACAAACTATGATAAAGGGAATAATATTATATAACAAAGGGCAAGTTCACCAGAGTTCAACTATGTTTTGTTTTGCTTGTCGTTAATACTAAAAGTCCGCTAACCTTTGATAGCAAGCAGTATTGTTACAAACAGTCCATGTTTACTAGTTTATTTGTACTCATCAATGTCTGTTTACTCGGCCAGAAATTACTGTTGTTCAGAATAGGATTATTTTCACATGATCTATTGTATACGGAAGAGGCAGTGGTGGATCTAAGGAGGTCAGGCCCCCTTTTGGAAAAAAAAACAATGATTAATTAAATGCCACAATTTACATACTAAACCTATGTTATGTGTATGTTTGAAGAGAATGTTGAAATGAGTCAGCTACTAATGACGTCATTCGTTTATTTAATTTTTTTTTCACGTATGAGATTCACATAGGAATTACCCTTTTCGGTTCGGAACGTTTTTTGTTTGTTTTTCAGTTTAGGACACAAGCTGACTTTATGTATGGCCATATGATTACATATGAATGACAAACACTTTTTGTACATTCCAATCTTCCAATATACATATATATCCATTATCGAATAGTATGCAATATATTATCCGACAAGTAAGAGAAGTTGAAAAATACATGAACAAAGAATATGTTTTTCCTTTACATTTGACGCATCTACTAATCGTGTCACGTTACAGTCAGGTATCCAGAAAAATGACTTTACATGATAATTTAAATATTGGGGTCCTGGAAAAACGTAAGCAACGTTGACGAAACACGTAATTAGAGGTAGTTGTACCTATTGTGGGCCCCTCTCTATATATGGTATGATATTCCAAGCCAGTAATTTGCGTGACAATGGAATATTTTTTCTTCCAAAAAACATATATAATGCTTGAAATTGAAACACGCTGTCAAAGTCGAACACGTAATCATTACCCAAATAAAATTGTAATCCAACATTTAGAAAACATTTTAGATTCAGGCCTTTATTATAGGTATGTAATTTATTTACCAAATTCAAATTGTAAAAAGAAACAAAATAGCATAGTTTAAGAATGTTGCCACATAATTACACAATGGAATGACGCACCTGAAACTTGAGAGTATTTTGAAATGGAGAAGATATTTCGGTCAATTAGTTGAAACTAAAGCGAAAATGTTAGTATAATATAAAAAATGTGTTATCATACACTGTTATTGCTAACTCAAGTTCTGAATCACCAAGTTTTAATTAAATATGAATTTTACTCGATATGATTTTACCAGCAGTTTTTGACTGTCAGACAGTTCATCTACTTTCACCGTGGTGGATACGCTGTGATAATGTAACACATATCGGGAATCATTATAAGCACTCGAGCTTAATGCAACTTTTGGATTCTGCATACAAAAGATTCAGCCTATCACAACGCATATATTTTAGCCAATCAGATCCCCTCCTTATTGACCTATTACAACCATGTAATATATCCTCTTCCCGCCTAAATTCAAGAATGGACCATTCCCCTATAAATTGAGAATTTGTCCTTGTTTGTCAGATGCTGTTTTATGTTAGTGTAATAAACCTCGTTACTTCCTCAAGCCACTGTTATCTCGCCTCCGTTATCTCTATCCACCCGAATCTCTTCTATACAATTCTACACAACACATAATAAGTTGTCAATACATCTTATTCTGTAAATAAAATATGGTACGTAAGCTGAAGTAAAAAAACACGTAAAAGTGATGTTATTTAGTTATTTGATGCGTATACACGTGTACCGTACCGTGTTTGGGGTCGAATATTTTAAAATATACAAATAAACGTGTGAAAAAAGGAGTTTCATGAATTTATGTTACCTCAACTAGGAAACAGTATGATATTAGCATGTATATAGGGTATAATTTTAAGTTAATTTCTGCACTTGAGAAGGAGTATAATCTCACCAAAATAAGTACGTGTTTAGGGGCTTTTTTGAAAAGCTATACTTCAGCATGGGTACCAGGTCTGACTTGGAGTACGTTTTGACAACACAAATCCCGCAATGGAACTGCAGAAATAATTGCTTTGTAAATGTACGACAGTACTTGAATTACAAGAGTTGATCACGTTGTGTGAAATTAACCAGTTCACGCAAGATATATAGTGTTGATTTGAATAGGTATGCTCAAATTACACCATTTGGAAATGCAAAACGCAGTTATTTATCCAGACTGTACTTGATCTAATTTAAAATATTATCGAAACAAAGATATATGTTTTGATTTACGTTTACGACTCCTTGTGGGTCTATCGCTCTAGTTTCAAAATAACCATACACAGCAATTGTCAAAACATTTTGCAAGGGTGTACCATTAAATTATTGGTTAATTGAACGATTAGAGAATACAACTAACCCAAATGTGTATGTAGCCAGTTGAAAAGAAAAGAAACGAAAAGAAAAGTAAAACAGTAGTGCAATTATGTTGTCATTGACTACCGCCAAAGCCGCAAGAGGGTGATACTAAAAAACAAACGAGCGAACAACAATTATTCAAATGATCTAATTTAATGATTATAATATATGATAATTTGCATATTGTATTAACTTGTTTCATGTGAAATTAACGATACAACGACGCTAAAGCAGTACAACAGCACCATAAACACCCAGTTTTGACAATTTCTTAGATACGAATGCGTGTAGGTATATTTTGGAACACATAAAACACCTGAGGGTGGGGGAATACATAGAACTTGCCTAATAGAAACGTGTCCCTGAAATGGATCTCGTTTTTCGGATTTTAAGCATAAGTATCGGTCTTATTTCTGGTCAAGGTATGTATAAATATCGGTATTATTTTTCCGACTTGGTACACTTATGGGTCCGTATATGAGCGAATATCTCCGCCTCAGATCCATATATACATCAACCCGGAAATTAAACAAGGCAATCAACATTTAAACGGAGATTTAACACGGAATAGAAAAGGGCGCACACTCCTCAGTGAAATGGCTTACATGTACTTCTATTGGAGATGCTCTTCTAATAGAGCAAATACGGTAACTGTTTTATATGGAATAAACAATGATGATAGAATTTGTACTTTGGTATAAATATGGGTATAGATTTTTCCACTATCCAGGTATAAAAATCGTCACACTTCGATTGTTTGATTCCTAATATGAAGTATTACCTCTAAAGACGGTATATACATATCATGTTTTCACCATCAATAAGCACAGTTGTGAGGCAGTGATATACTGTAAAATGCTTTATTTTTGCTGGAATTAATTTTTGCTGAAAAAATATTGTTGGTGCTTTGTATAGAATTTATTTTCACTGATTTTTGACAAATTGAATGTAAAATATAGGAAAAAAGGTATATTCGCTGGATTTTATTTTCACTGAATCCTTCCTTCAGCGAAAAATTGGGAACAGGCAATTTCTCTCAACCTAAATACCACAAAAACAATTTCGATATTCATCAGTCAAATGTAACGAATGAAGGGTGCCTTGACCTAACAATTCATCACTTTCTTAGGAGAATCGCATCAGAATGCGGGTGACTTGGCAGGTATAAAATTACCGGCCACCCAGCCCGTCGCACTGCATGTCAAGTCAATCCGATTTCATCGTAATAATCGTACTATAGAGTTCAACGTTAGAGGGCGTGTTTCATTGTTATTCCATTATTGATATAACGGTGGTTTAAACACGTGTTCGATGTCGAAAATACAATTAGTAATTTTATTGCTTGATATGGCATTTATATCCGTCGCTATAGAGGGCATACTAATTCAATCTAAACACAAAGAGTGGATACACCATACACAAGAAAATGTAGTATCTTCCTGTGAAAAATAGGCGATAAGTAATATTACTTCTTAATCTATTCCGCTTAAACATTCAGTTATGATAGTACTACTGATGTAATATAACTGCACTAGGCCGCGTTTGTCACAATCAGCTGGATTACACGTTATAATAAAAAAATGATTGCGACATGTTTATCTAATTTCAAGTCGTATTCAAGATATATGGTAAATATTTTATTTATTTTTTTATAACTTGTACGCCAGCTGACTGTGACATTTGTATAATTCATACTATACTAAATACAAGTAATACTATTATATCTTTATTTATAAACAACAATCTAGCAATATTACGAGCACTGTGCAGCAAGATAAACTCAGTATTCGTACTACGTTACCCGGGGTTGGTCGGGTACTGGCACTGGGGTATATACCACTAAATGACCAATAGTCGGGGTGGGTGCAGAGATCCGACATAACTGTCACTCAAAATTATGCCCTCAAGGTACTGAAAAGTATGGCTTCTGCCTTCATTTATAGGATGTTCCCATGTGCTTGTCAAGAAACGGCGTAGTTTATTGCACCCGTTTACGACATCATTAAGATATAAACTCATTGCAGACATTAAACACGAGATATTAATGCAGGGAACCGGTAGTAAGATGATGATAATTATATTCATTAACCTGCAAACCTTAACACAAATACAAGTGTAAACAATTTATATATTGCATGATTAGATTGCTTTATTTGTCATTACAGGCATATACATGACAAACACTTAAACCATTAACATCTAAACAACATGCAAACTTGGATGTAATTAGTACAAATATTACAAACCACGATTAACCGCTAAAGTATTGATTTTCGCATTGATTTCAAAATAATCATTTTCAAATAAAAGTTGCACAGTAAAAAATAATGTTTGAAGGACGTAAACCATAATATGGCCTTTGTGATACAAGTAGTTTCACGAAGAGGGCGTAGTACAACTATAACACTACAATACAATAACAAGTTAATGCAATAATCAACAAATATATTATACGTAATCCACAATAAAGTTCCACACACACATTACTAAATAAAATGCAATACCCGACCAGAAAATTCTGTGACGTAATATGACGAAAGCGAATCAAAATATTTGCTCTGTATATTCACTATTGGTAAAAAGTACGAAAATAAAGCAAGTGTTGTTAATTTCTCCGCTTCATTTGCGAAAATATAAATTCTCACGCCCATTCTCGCACGACGAGAATTTGTATTGACCCGCGAATAAAAACATTTCTCACCGAAGAGCGAGAAACTGTCTTGCTCTAGTCCCACACGTTACAAGACAACTTACACTAATTTACCACAATTTGACTTCACAGATCTAGAATTACTAAGTCGATTGAGGGCGCTCGAACAAAGATGTGCTGTACAACAACAACAATTTTATATTCTTTTTTATGTAAAAATTACATAACTGATAGATAACAGGAGCTCTATGACTATGTGATATCTGTGATATAATCAATATATATTCAATCCTCATCATGGACATGTTGGAAAACATTTTTTATATACTAATTACTAATTAATTTTAAAATCTTTCAAGTATCGTATCCCGTAATCACAATGTGAGCAACTATATTAACATCCGGGCATTGTTAGGCATTCTGCCAAGCTACAACACAACACCATCATCATCACCAATGCAGTAGTTTTTTTAAATTCTTCTGTTATCGCCACAACAAACCCTTTCCATTTGTTTTTTATAAATATTTACAATTAATTTTACAATTCAATTGGCCGATAGAATGACATTCAAAAATATTTAAAAAATGTCAATCCCGCCGCGATCATTAATTAGCTGGTTGGATTCAACAGCCGAAGAAATTATTTATAAATGTTTATGAAAATGAAGAAATGGGTAGCGATAGTAACAAGGAAATATAAACGGTTGACTTAACAATCTTTTAAAGGATAGAAATCCTGGATAAAAACTAAAGTTAATCCGGCAATGACACGTACCCTGGACGCGTCATTTATTCTTCGATATCACACTCATACCAACGTTTTGGATACAATGGTTACGACTTTTCCAGCGTTTTCCGTAAAATGTGGGAACATATGTAACAATAATAAACCTCCATGGCCTCACCATGACGTTTGCAGTATATTGAAATTATTTTTGTGATGCGGTATAATTATGCCGAATGTTCACGGCCGCATCCCTTCTTAATGAAAAAAGCTTCCATATTCTAAACACCAAAACAAGATTCTTTCAAATAATTATAAAATTAGCATCTGATTATTGGAAACGGTCCAGCCATAATGAAAAACAAAAACATCTGGCAAACCACTGCCAGCTGAATACGCATGAGAAGCAGTGAAGTGGAACAAAATTATGCAAATACTCTCTGAATCTAAAAGCTAAAAGCATCGCGAATGGATGAGGCTATACAAACAAGTTGTATACTACTAATTTTCTTAGGACGAGACACGATTTAACGTCTTTGTCAATGTGCTTGCCAGGAAATGTGGTATTCAATATGTATGAACCACAACAACTAGAATTATCTTATAAAGTAACAACGTAAAAAGTATTTGATTAACTGCTGTTATTGGATTGAATACATAATATGATTTGTGCTGATCCATAAATTAGCGCAATAATCGTTGATCGATTGATCTGGCTGTCACGATTACGCATATGTTCTATCTTAACTAACATAACTAAGATATTCTATTGAAAACAAAGTATACCTTTACAAAAGAATAACAGTTTAGAATATTCTTATGCAAGATATAAATTGAATAGCAAGTTTAATCGATGGGCTCACGTCGAGAATATGCAAACAAAGAGTGAAGTGAAAAGGCATCGTAAATTGTCATGAATACATGGAATATTAACTCAAAAAGAAGTTTATGTGTATTTCTGACATCAATACCTGGTATCAAAATTGAACTGCAGTACAGCAGCGACTGTACTATACCATTTAAATGTTTTCGTCGTTGTCGGTATATGGTCTGGCGCTAATATCGTCGTCTCGATATTGGCCCTGGCGAGGGTTTTCTGTAATTCTAATGTCGACGTATGGATCACTGCGCTTCACATCAGTTGTGATACCCGAGTACTTTACTCTTGTATCGTGGGATTGTTTGTAGCACTTTCTGATTGCTCTCGCCATGATAACGATAAGAACGAGGCAAACCAAGGCAAGTGCGACAGCAGCTAGGACAACAACTGTTGAGTAACGACAAGAGAACAACACTGTATTAAATAATATGTACTAGTGTATCCCACTTCAGACTGCATACAGAATATCTCGGTAGTTCTCACGGGAAACTTATAAATGGGAGGTTAAAAATCTCGTGACCCTATGGACTGCTAAAACACACACTAAAACATACTTGAACGCGGAAGATTCAGTGAGGGTGTTATTTCAACGTGAAAGGTGTACGATATGCACATACTAGTTTCGCTTAGAGCTGCCAAATTACTTTTCAAACTCAAATGAAATTAGTTCAACTATTTCTTTTACCCATATATATTCTATTATAAACGCTAACAAGTCGTTTTATACAGTGAAAGACAGACAGCTGTACCTTAAATTATAAACACATTTATAAAAAAAAATGTAATTACCGATCATCAGCTTTCATTCAAAATCAAATATTCAATAGTGAGCTCATGATTATCTACGCACATAATCTTTGCGCGTGCCGTCTAATAACATAGCAACTGCGTATCAGATGATGTTCAATAAATCTGGTGCTGTCACAGTGCTATTTTTAGATTGGTCAACTTAAAGTCGAGCGTTTTCATTTATCACAATTCATATTTATTAAACTTTCTCAGCTGTTTGTCCTTCACTGTAATTTAGCAAGTTAATTGTGGAGTGAATTTTTTCAGTTTGTTTTTTTTTCGCCACAAACTTTATACACTTTATTGAGATTGGGACTTGAAACTATTAATTATTCATCAAAGCTCCTATACTTACCTTTACTTGTAGATTCTTCATCAGACTCGTCATCTGTAAAATAATCGAATAAATACATTCAGATCAAAACAATTTGCAATAGCTTTCAAATAACATGATATATTAGTTAGCTGTTATATATATATAGCAATAATATGATATAGCTTTCTGGTTTAATAAATACTAGATAATTAGAGCATTTTCAAGACGGAAAGTTGTTATGTTATAGAAGGAACGAATCCATTTGTATTAGACTTGTTGTGTATGCTATAAAACTGCAAAACAGAAAGAAAATTTGTTCAAACTGTGAATCAAAATTTCTATAATTAGGTGATATTGGTATTGGTTAATATATCAATAGACTGTATTTGTTGATGGTCTCTGAGAACTGTGTTTCATTCTATATCATTCTCCAATGTGTGCCTCGTATTTGAAACAGAGGACTTTATGGCGGCAGAGAGTGGATCGATCTATTCGAGAAAGCAAAAAAAAAAACAAAAAAAAAACAAGTAGATTTGCTCGCTCACATAACAAAGTCTTTTTTCGAATAATGTCTATTTGTAACTTACCTTGCAATTCATATTCACAAATGAATTGTTCTTCATGGTCGCATCCATGGTCATTGAACCCACCTGCCCCTCTATGAAACGACCCACACATATCAGTGTCACTGCTTGGGTTGTTATCTGCCCAAGTGTTGTTATATTTCAATTCAGTGTGATCTGTCCACACCCAATGTTTACTATCACCCGAAGTCTTCCTCGTCAATCCAATCCATGTATCGCTATTCTGATCAACTGATATCAAAAGAAAATCTAGTCAGTAATACACAGTTCATTATATTATATTTTTGTAACTATAACAATACTTTATATTAAGTGGTTTACTTACAGTCAGGTCGTGATTTAACCTCTTCCATAATCCACTCATATTCATAGAGATCTTGTAAATCAATCAAATGTGCGTCCACGTGTTCATCTCCACAGTATGTAGCCGCTTTGTGCTGTGACTTTTTCATATCTTGTCCAACAAATAGGTAGCACGAATGCTCATAGTGCACCCAATTAGTATCGCATATAGTAACTAAAGAACAAATCGATATATTATTATATCATCTGTATATGTATTTAAACCTT